AAATTGTCGTCTAAATTATTCAAAAAAGAAAATAACGCTGACATCTCATTTTAACAGATATATTTACCAAAATTACACAAAAATGTCTTGAAACCCAAAAGATTAAATTTATTCAGTAAGATCGCCATTGGCTTTAAACACGGTTTCCAGACAACTTCGAAATTTCTGGACGATCTCCTTGTTTAAGTTGGCGAATGCTTCCATAATCCTTGCTTTCAGTTAATATTTGGTGCTTTGTTGGTCTATGCCGCAACTGCGTCCCACACATAATAATCAAGTTTGCAGTCTGGGGAATTAGGTGGCCAGATGTAAGAGGTGATGTGATCGCAGAAATTGTCTGACAGCCATGACTGGATTATCCTTCTTTTATGGCATGATGCAGAGTCCTGTTGCCAGCCATAGGGTCTTCCAGTATCCAACCACTCGATCCAGGGAAGCACTGCCTCCTGAATGTACTTGATATAGGCCTCCGTGTTGAGTCTGGGGCATTGTGGGAAGATGAATGGAGGCATTATGTCGCCATCACTAGTGATCACTTCAAACACCTTCGTAATCACATTTAGAATAATCCAACTCTTTCTGAATCCTCTGCACTGTCCTCAGATTGACAACCACAGGCACTGAAATGTTCGTATTAGGGCTTCCGGTGCGAATGCCAAGCAGTACAGTATGGTATTTCAAAATTTCTGGCGGAGTGAATTGCGTCATGGTGCTCTTTTTCTCACAGACGGTACGTACCTGGCCCTACTATACTGTACAGTTGACAAACTCAAAAACAAACAACGCGCATGCGCAAAATTAAAAATAGAAAATAGCGACAATTTACCCATTGCATCCTATATATATATGTGTGTGTGTGTGTCCCGGAAAGGGATATATTTGAACGAAGTAGCTAAGTGGATTTGGCTACTATAACCATATACGGTAGCAGTAATCGACTGGTATACGTCGTAGTCGCAGGTAAGAAGTGTAGATCAATGGTGTAGTCCAATGGGCATCGTTATAGACTTAGCTCTCAGACTAAGGCTCTTGACTCTCCTACACGTCCGTCGGTATTTATGACGGACACCAACCAATCATATTCCAGTGAGGTGGAACACAGGTGTATGCATATTCCATTATATCAAAAGATTACCAAATACATATATATATATATATATATATATATATATATATATATATATATGCAATGTCTGGTCAAATGTCTCGGGACTGGTGCCATAAAAGTAAGTTACAACGCATCAATTCGGCGTTTAATCTCCTTCGAATTAGTTTCCTTTTGAAGCCACAGCCACACAATTTATCAAGTGTCATTTCCATTGATGGACACATTCCCTGAACTCCTTTTTTCGTATAGCGATCAACTGCCTCTTCGCCTTCTCTTGGATTTCCTCGACGCCTTGAAATCTTTTTTCCTTTCAAGTGCGGTTTGATTTTTAAAAAGGAAAAAAATTAGCTGGAAGGCAGCGTGATCTGGGACATATTGAGAATGTTGTCCCTGATCCAAAACTGCAGCACGAGCCTTGACCACTGATGGAATCTCTGTTGTATGGTAAGATGACCACACTCTACACACTTTCCTTACAAGCACTGCTATAAACAACGAAAGTGGGCAAGAGTGTTATATCTTGGTGTGTATGTGCAACAGAGTTCAAAGTCAATCTGTACCAAGTTGCTTCACTCTGCGTACTTTATCTCCGTCACAATAGTGCCTATACTTTTTGATCAGACCTCTTAGCAAAACATTAAAAAATGTTCTCCATTATCACATTGTATCATTTCCTGAATGACATTATTATTATTATTATTATTATTATAAGCGATCATTGAGTTAGTTGATAATCTTGTATTTCGCTAAGAAAGAAGGAAATCCTCCATATTCAGATCTTTAACGGATGATCGCTTGTTACTCTGGAAAATTTCAAATCAGGAAGGAAAAATCGCTCCACAAGTTCATTGAAATGCAAAAATACGCATCCAGAATGAAATCTTTTAATTATTTCTTTAAATTTTAACAGGTGAATAAATATTTCTTGCTGTTTTGCTTTTTTTTCATAAGAAAATGTATATAACTATATATAATTCTGAGCTTAATTTTTTAACAAATATTTTTTTAATCGTTTCAACACAAGCAAGGTAATAAAGCCACTGAGACGTAAGAGGCTATTGAATGAGAAGGGATATGAGAGAAAGAAAGATATTAAGGAGAGAGAACGGTAATTGATTGAGTCATTCATTTTTTACGTCTTATCAACCTTTGCAGATTATTTAAAGCCAGAAAATATTTTTTGATAGCAAGAATTTGTTTTCGGGAGAGAACAATGCTTTAGTGAAACAATTCTTATTAATCAACCCATAGTTTGGGGAGAAGTGGTGGATACATAACTTTCCCAAGGGTATTGGCGTGTAAGTGCATATAACGAACTCAACTGATACAGGAACTCGGTTCTCCGATTAAGAATTTCGTGCCATTATCCATTACACCACCCGCACATCGACGCTTACAACACCTGGTATTAGCAAGTGGTCACTCATCTAGTTACAAAGCAGGTTCGACGTTGCTTAACTTCGGTGATAGTACGGGAACAGGTGTTTGCCCGTGATTAAGAAGACAGGTAACGATATTTTTGAAGATCAAACTTGATTTGAAAGCCTGAACCCAGGAAAAAGTTTCACAGGCGGGAAGTGCCAGAGAAGAAACTGTTAGCATAGAACTTATGGTTGCATCTAGCCTTTTTAACTTTAAAAATGAAACCTATCCGCCAATCCAGTACTGCGTTTTAATTCATAAAATCTAGCTACCATAGACGAACGTTCACCACGACAATTAATATGCAAATTTTTATAGATATTAAATTATTATAATTAAACGTTTTACAAAAATTTGCTACAACTACTATTATAATTATTATAATTATTATTATTATTATTATTACGATGACGAGATGTAATATTTTATTTTTTATTCTAATATTCAATTAAGATTTGAAATCAGTTGAAAAATAGATAAAGTACAAATATTACTGAATGTCCTTTATTAGGTATTTTATATTAAACATTTTATATTCATTCAGGATAAGAATATATATATATATATATATATATATATATATATATATATATATATATATATATATATATATATATATATTACAATCGGAATTAAGATACCATTATGTAAATTATATGAATTTTTTATATCCCTCTTAATATACTTTTCTTTTATATTGGTTATTTTAATACTCTTTAATTCTGAATTATCTCTCTTTCATATTTTTGGGTTTATCTCTTATTATTTTATATAATTTATTTTTTAATCTCTAGGTTTCTTTTAAGTCTAAACTACTGTCTGATTACTACTGGATAATAATAAATAGGCCATCTCTTCTCTCCTTTCTTTCTTTTTCCCTTCCTTTCCCCTCTGACCACCACTCATATCAAGAGTTCATGTTTTCATTTGCTACCTTCCCTTCCTTTCGATTCTTCTTCTTCTTCTCCTCCTCCTTCTTCTTTTCCTCCTCCTCCTACTCCTCCTCCTCCTCCTCCTCCTTCTTCTTCTTCTTCTTCTTCTTCTTCTTCTTCTTTTTCTCCTCCTCCTCCTCCTTCTTCTTCTTCTTCTTCTTGTCTTGCTATTTTTAACTTTATCATTCATTGACGGTTTGAAAAATCTTGTAAATTTAATTTTACAAGGTGAAAATGATCATTTACATAATGGTATCCTAATTCCGACTGTATGAAATATATTGCTTTGTTTATTATAAAAACATTGAGCTTGATGTTTTGAATCAGTTTTAATATTTAATATTTAATATTGTTTTAATAGGATGTACTTGAAATATATACAAACGGATTACTTATTACCTATATATACATATATATATATATATATATGTGTGTGTGTGTGTGTGTGTGTTTGTGTGTGTGTGTGTGTGTTTGTTGTCGAAGGAATCAGTGTATTTTATCTTTATCCTAAATTATTTCCTACTAGACTAGACGACCACTGATTTTTTAACAGTGTGAATTACGTCCTCTACCCATACGAGAGACTTAAAAAAAAGATGATCTTCGCTAGGCCTCGTAATTGAGTCTGCCTTTGTAACGGAATTCACCATATCATCTGGTGTGCTTTAGAACACTCGGCTACAGAGAGCGTTACACTCCAGCAAGGTTCAATTAGCCCTTTGAAGAATGTATATCCTCTTATTCAGATCTTCTCGAGTGGTCAGATTTCCCCATTTTTTTTTTCGTAGCGAAACGTAAACAAAGTAATTTATAAGGTAGCAATAGCGGTCTGATGCATATTTTGTCAAACGGTGGTTTCTCCTACAAAGGGGGACGCTGGTTCGAATCCAGCTGGAGTGAATACTTTCTTTGTTTAATTTCTTGAAAGTAAATACCTGTAGACGGAATTTAAAAAAAAAAAAGAGAAAAATTAAAAACATACAAGGCGTCTAATCAAACATGTGTATCCACAAAATAATGCTTAGAATAGTAAGATATATACATACATACATAAAGACTAGCTCACATATTCTGAGATGTAAGGTTAATATTTGTCTCCTGCGTTATTCATTTTCTAAGTTAATTCTTTTTCTTTTTGTTTCGTCAATGGCTTATTTCTTTTACCATTGTTAATTTGGGAAGACATTAGGGCTGACACAAAACGATCTCTTCTCTTTCTCGCCGATTAACCCAAAGTGTATTTTGGTGATTCACACGACAAATGGTGTCAAGATGGTTGAACATGTTATCTGAAAACCTGGAAAAATGAAAATCAATTACTTTAGTAGTTTTTTAGATATTAAATATTTTGTGGGATGGACAATTATTCTGTTACACCCGGTAGCCATAGACACACACACACACACACGCACTCACACACACGCACTCACTCACACACACACACACACACACACACACACACATATATATATATATATATATATATATATATATATATATATATATATACACAGACACATATATACATATTTCTATTGTTTAAATGTTATTTTTAGAGGATATTTGTGTTTGAGTAGACGCTCCCTTTATTTCATATAAATAGTGTGTCTGCTCAATAAATATAAAGGAAAATAACGTTTTTATTAATAAGAATTTGTCGGATTAATAAAAAAAAATCAACCCTTTCTTTATAAAATGTACACATTCAATATATATATATATATATATATATATATATATATATATATATATATATATATATAATTATTTTAAGACATTTTGTGTTTATACATTCTTTTTATAGTACAAATATTTAAGTAAATGCTCTGTTTATAATAAACAGTATTAAAGTATTTCACAACATTTACCGGTCTGAATGTCCGAGAAATTTTCACAGAAAATATTCGTCCTCCGAAAGGATTCGAATCTGTATCCTATACTCCATGAGCAGATATAAATGTACGTGAGAGATTCATAGAAGAATTGAAGTTCAAATACAGTAAATTCGCCTTGTCAACTGAACGCTCCTCTGTGGCCAAATCGGTTAACGGCACGTCACGCTAAATATTGGTTCCGTATAAGATACAGGTTCGAATCCTGTCGGAAGACGAATATCTATTGTGAAAATTTCTCGGACATTCAGGCCGGTAAATGTTGTGAAATACTATTTATTATAAACAGAGAATTTACTTAAATATTTGTATCTATAAAAAGAATGTATAAACATAAAAATGTCTTAAAATAATTGTCGGACTTTGTCTATTTCACAATATACAAGTATATATATATATATATATATATATATATATATTCCCGTGACACATTACTGTATTAGCTCAGCGGGTATGAAACGTGTGTGTTTTCTGTCCTTTCTGTGCCAAAAACAACCATCATATTAAAGCTTTGAACAGATTACATCAAAAGTGTCTTAAGACAATTATGAGTATTAAGTGAGACTCCTTTACACCTTATACGGTTCTTCGTCAATGGGCCAATACAGCTAGTGTCGAAAAGGTCACCCATAACCTAAATGAGATTTGTAAATGCCTTAGTTCAACGGGAGATGAGAGGTGAACTAAACAGATTTTTATAGAGTAACTATCAGCATGGCCGGGCGTTGCCCGTGCTTGATTCAAAAATCGTACGGCTCATACAGCAATCGCTATCACATGATTTAAAAATTTTTTAGTAAAAAGATAAAACATTCATATTCTTAACATAAATCATGTTCTGCCGGGATAATGTAGTTGAAATAAAATCCATTTTTTTTTGTGCAGCCGCTATTTGCTCAGTGAATTATGTCAACATATTGTTATATATTTACCATTCTGTTGGATTCTCACGCAAATTTAAATCGAATATATATATATATATATATATATATATATATATAAGTGCGCAGGTATGCAGAAAATAGAAAAGAACACGTTGGGTGCATAATCCGGAGGTCCTTAGTATTTTTGTTTTTATAAGAAAACATTGCTCCATACAGAAGTAGAGCTTTATTATAATAATAATATTTTTTTGTTTAAAAATATGATTCCTTCGCTACATAAGAGTTCTCATGTTTCAAAAATTCCTCTTTATTCCTAAAATTTCACTTGAAGATGAAACGCGACTAAACACCTCAATTCAACTTAATTTTAATAATTATTTGAATGGTTTCGGCTCTCGTTTTTGAATCATATTTTCAAACAAAATAAAATTATATATATATATATATATATATATATATCACAACAAAAGAAGGGCAAAAGTCCATATATGCATATGTCTGCAAATCCTTCGATCCTTGTGTGTGTGTGTTTATTTGTTTAAATGGATACTCAAAAACAGAGCATCTATTCAAATAACTTTTAAACAAATAAATTAAAAAATCTGTCGGATTTAATCCATATATATATATATATATATATATATATATATATATATATATATATATACCTGCTGTAACATCAAAATTGTCCAAATCGTGTAACAGCAGAATTATCCGTCACGCAAGATGTTTAATATAAAAAAAAACAAAAAAGAAAAAGTAAGTTTCTCTTTCCATCTTTTCTGATAAGACATTTAGCCCCACCCCCCGGACACCATTTTTGTAAGAATCATTGACAAAACCTTTGAGTTATTCAACTAAAAATAGAGCAGGTTAAAATTGTTTTGTACCAGACTCACTTTCCAATTGTGCAATGGTGAGAGGAAAAAGTCATTCGGGCCTTCAGTAATGGTACCAAAATTCATACTCTGGCTTACATCTTCAAAGTCCATTCAAGAACCATCAAGAGAACGGTGAATAAGTTTACAAAAGCGGGAACAGTAGAGAGGAAAACTGGATCACAACAAGAAGACGGGTCATCATTTCAACTTAGAACTAAAGAGATCAATTAAAAAGGATCCAACTCATTTCATACACGTCGCACGTGAGAGATGAGCTCCAGCTATGACAGTCCAAAGAGCAGTGAAAAAAGACTTGAAAATGAAATCGTACGTGAAACGTTTGAGACACCTTGTTACTCCAGGACAGAAAATTAGAAGGTTAGAGAGGGCGAAGGTCATCTTGAATAAATTGGAAGATGATCCTGTAATAAGATATATATATATATATATATATATATATATATATATATATATATATATA